GGGGGGGGGGGGGGGGGGGGGGGGGTCAGCCTCTATTAACAGTCTTTCAGGGAGGTAGAATTTTGTTATAGGTTCTATTCCTCTTAAGTTCCTATTCAGTAATTAGATTTCATAATTTGATAACTTTGTTACGTTCTATCTGTTTCAATCTTATTGATCACATGCAGTTAGCATTGGCTGCATTGCGCAGATCAAATGAAGTTCATGGAGTTATTGACTTTGAAAGGTGAGAAGTTACTACTTATCTAGATTCGTTTAGTTATTTTTAGTTAGCATTGGCTGCATTGCGCAGATCAAATGAAGTTCATTGATTTATTGGCTTTGAAAGGTGCAAAGATGCCACTTATCTAGTTTCATTGAATTATTTAAAATTTCCCTCCCATAAAAAATTACGATGGTGGACTTCTAATTGCATGGCATGCATGCTTTTAGGAAATTTCATTGGAGATTCTAATTCTGTTGAAGCTCTTGTATTGGTTAGGTAGTCTATTTTGGCCTTCTAATGCCCTTTCATTTATTTTAATGAAAGCTTGTTTATTTATTTTAAAAACTTGAGAAATGATGGATTTATGGATTATTTGTAATCGTCCATTGACGTCTGCTAATATTTAAGAATTGAACCCTTTTTAGAAGTTTGGCTCTTCTTTTGGGCTTGTCTTTTTGTATGGAAGTGAAACTATGATCTTTATTTTATGCTTCATTTGTTGAAAGCTGATTGTGTTTAATAAAATAAAAACAAATATATCTTTCCATCTTTAATTGGCAACATTCTGTTGTTTCCATCCCTTACGTGCAATGGTTCACTTATTCTTCTCAGTTCATGTGTAGGTACCTGGATAGTATTCTCTCTCGCCAAAATTCTGCACATATAATTTCTGAGCTCTATGAGCGTTTTAGTTCAATTGACTCATGGGTATGAACTTGTCTTTTTCTCTTAACTGATTCAATCAGTAGTCTAAAACGTATACTGTTGTAGTAGTAGTAGGAGAATAAATTTAGCTTATTCCCTCTTTCGGAAATTTTGTATCAGTATCTCCTACGAACTTGTGGTTGTAGGCTACATTCTAATGCGCTAGTGTGTTGTACTTTTTTTACAGATTAATAAATATGCATTCCCTTCAGAAAAGGACTTAAAGCACATCAACAGAAAATTAAAATCTTGCTGGGGACTGGGCTCCAATGACGAGTATTTTATACAAACTTGTGATATCTTGAATAGAATTAGTCTACCTCTTGCTTCGTTTAGTACCCCCTCTTATCTTGTTTCCCAGCTGCTAATTACAAATTGCATCAAAACTTGGCAGGAGTAAAAAAAGGGAGAAGAAATCAAAGCACAAATCAAAGAAGAGTTCGAATGAAATGCAGAATATGCCTTCGCACACTTAGCTGTATGTCTGTTTTCCACCAGTTATATTTTGGTAGGCTGATAGAATTATTCCATCCTGGTACTTTGTTGTCAGTTGTATTTTTAGTCTTTAAGAAGAAATAGAAAAATACAGTCAATAACCACGCGAATGAAAAAGGATAGTGGCAGCGAAACATTTTATAAATTATTGTGGCATGTTATTCTAAATGAGAACTGTTGTTACTACCAATATATCTCTTTTCAAGACGTCTTCATCTTTGAAATTATTTATAAAAAACAAAACACCTTGGATCAAATATCAAGAAACCATTCATGTTTCTCCTTATACTTCCCTCTCACGGAAAATTATCAACGCGGCTACCACCCTCTAGATCATTGAATGTTTACTAAATCATTACTTTTAGTTTCTCTCCTACATCCAGTATAAAATCACTAGTCAGATTGTGCAGCTTCCTTAAATAATTTCACCTCTCCCACCCAAACTCTAAATTACTCCCTCCCAAATGATTAATGAAAGAAGCCTAGATCTTGAAGTGATTTACGTTTGTCTCTTTTTTTTAGGTACGCAAATCTCAGCAGGGGACTGACAAAAAAGGAGAGCTAGGCAATTGGAAGAAGGTTAGTTTTTGAATCCCACCCCCCCAAAAAAAAAAAAAAGTAATGAGATTTTGAAAGAGTAGACGCGCTGTAGTATTTTCCTGTGGTCAAAGGAAATTCCCTGTTCATATCTACATAAATTTTAGGGATGTATGAATTTAAAAAATACAATTAAACATACCTTTCCTCTGGAATCGAAATAATGTGAAAACTGTTTTAGAAATATAGAAATGAGCATGGCACATTATTTTGTTTTCTTTGCCCCAGAGTGTTCACAAATTAAGTTTAGATCCTGCGTGTAAAGTGAAGAACATTGTAGGCTTCTTGGTGGTACTCTTAGCCACCCATGCTTCTGCTGACAATATTTTCTTTCATACAGGCAACTCAACCTTCGCGTTGGTTAGTGGGTTTTCTGCATGAAACCGATATCCTTAAGCGGCGTTCAATATGAAAATATGGAAAAGGAAAACATCATATCAAGCACTGAGAAAATTTGCCCCCTCTTTGGTACTCATTCTCTGATTTTATTCTTTTCTTCAGTCAGCGATATTTCTGGTCAGTAACCAAGTAATTTCTGCCGTGTAATGATAACATTACGACAAAATTTTGAATTTTAGACTTATTCTCTGTCTTGGATTTTATTTCTCATTTTGTTCTCTCAATTGAAGAGCTTTTTCATACATCTTTTCCTTCGGAATGCGGGATGAAGTCCCATCTTCCTAATTCTAATTCTCCTTTTGGTTCTATTCTAATCTCTTTCCTTGTTGAATAAGAAAAGAGAGAGAAAGAAATGAAACTTACACACAATTATTCTTGTGTTCTGCATTTCATATGTTTAAAATGACTACTCTTTTGTGTTCTCTTTTTGTTTTTTAATAGCAAAGTTCCTGAAGTAGTTCTTTCTTTTATCATTTGTGATTTAGAGGTTAAAGAGTGTTGTAAGGCTGTAAGAGAAAGAGGAAAAAGATGGGGGAAGACCAAAAAAAACAAAAACTAAATCCAAAAGTTGCCCCTCAATCATGAAAACTTGTAGGAACTGTATTGGGTTCTGGTGAGACGGCATCTTATAGCATTATATGATTAAGAGCCAAGAAATTTAGTGGTACAAATCATTTTGACTGAGATGGAGCTATGATTTTTACAGTACGTAGAAACATTGTATTTGAATTATATAGATGTTCTTCTTTGTTGTTGTCGTCTTAGCAGCAACAAGGCTTAGGCTTTTGAGTGTTTTGAGTAAGGGTAGATTTATGAAACTTGGAGTTGGAAGAAGTGTCATGTATAAGTTAAAGCAGTGATAAGAAGTAGAAGTTAATGAAGAAATGGTAGTGGTAGGTGGTGGAGTGCGGAGTGGGGAGTGTGGAGATCCCAAAAAAGGGGAGAAGATCTAATGGAGATGCAAAGAAGCATATAAGAAAATCCAAAAAAGGAATAATGTATGAACAGAAAATGCCAAAAACAAAAACGATGATAAAGCTAAGAAGAAATGTCAGTGAGAGCCACCGAATACCACAGAAAGGAATCACTCCCAACACAAACAGAACAAACATCTTTCTTTCTTTACATTTCCTGAAAGCGACATTTGATTGGTTGGTTTAGACAATCCTCTCATCTTTTTCTTTTTCTTTTTCTTTTCCCCTAAACCCCATTGCCCTCACCTCTCTCTCTCTCTCTCTCTCTCTCTCTCTCTCTCTCTCTTATCCACCTTCTCTGTGTGTCTTAATAATAGATACTGCAAGCTATATTACTATAGTCTCTTTAAAGAATCCCTCGTTGGGTTAGTGGGTGTCCAACCGAATGAAATTTCTTACCCCAAATTCATACTAAATATGTTTTAGTAGCTACTAAATATGGGTTTAAATTCCATTTTCCTCCGGTGGCTAGCGTACTAGAATGTGATTGCGTCTTAATAACAGTTAGATAATTAGCGATAGCCACATTACAATGGCCTCTTTTGAAGAGTTTCTTGTGGGGTAGTGGGCGTCCAACCGGAATGTATATGTTTTTAGTCGCTATTAAATATGAGTTTAAATTCTAATTTATAATTTGTGGTTGAAATTATAAATTAAAATGTGACAATAATTTTTTTAATTTGAGGGGGAGAGAGTGAGAGAGAGGAATCTGATATGGACATGACGGGGCCGAAATCAGAGGGGAAACACCCAATTATTGCTCCCCACGCTGCCCGACATTACATGATTCTGTCTCTTTACTCTCTCCCTTTCATTTTCATTTCTTCCACTTTATTTATTTATTTATTTTATGTTTTCCTTTCACATAAATTAAATTAAATATATGTATATTATTGTTGAATTAAACCACGTGGCATTATTGAGTTTTTGCAATTTTGTTATTAATTATCCAAAATAATTGCAGTTACATTCTATATGAGTTCTGTTCCATTCTAGCCGGTAAACTTTTTAAAGTTGGATTATTTGGCTATTAATTATTTTATACTTCAAAAAAATATATATATCTATTGCTACACCATTTGTTCGACATTTGACGGTTATATAGATATGGCTAAACTAAGGATATTACTCTAATATCATGTCAGAAATTACTAATTTCCAGAATGGTACGATGTTGTCCATTTTTAAGCATGAGCTTTCGTAACTTTACTCTTAGTTTTTTCAAAATATCTCGTATCAATGAATATAGTATTCGTTACTTATAAACTCATAATCCTTCTCTTAACCAACCAAACGGGAGACTCCTCTCCCCCACAACTTTTAACAAATATGGATTTATTTAACAATTATATGACATTTTAATAACATTTTATTTAAATTATTTAGCAAATAGATTTTGAATATAATGCACGAATAAAAAAATTCGATATTATATGTCTTAAGCATATTAGCATATTAATGATTAAAATAAATGTTTACTTTAATTATTGAATAATTCTCGAGGAGGCCCAAAATAATTGTTTTTTAATTTCATAATCTATTATTATTATTGAAATATTATTATTTCAATGTCCTATTGGATAAAGTGAAGAAATAATTAAAATACAAATTCAATAATTTATTGAAGGAATGAATTTGGGGATGTATCAATGGGTAAGAATTCCATATTAATTTCGAATATAGCTTATTTGAGTTGGAGAATAAAATAAGTCAAAATCATTTAATTTATTAAATATAACACAATAATAAACCAATAAAAACAGACTACACAATCAAATATATACTAATCTCTATTTGTGTATTTATGTAATTATAGTATCAAATTCTATTATTTCCCATAATTTAAGAATTATAGTAAATACCAATGCTACGCCATTCAAAGCTCAATTCATAGCCTTACAATTATTTTTAAATAGCCCATATTTTAAAATAGAAAATAACTTAAATAAATTATATAAAAATTAAATCGTTAGAGTCTGCCAAGTCCACGTAGACGGTTGAGCTATTAATTTAATAACTATACGTTTTTTAATAAATAAAGAAAAGAGGAAAAATCCACGCCGATCTAATAAATTAATTAATTATTATTGAAAAGGAAAAACAAGGTTTGACATGTATTAAATTCAACGTCAATTATACCCATGCATGGCCGAAATTTCACCAAAATAAGAGTGCCTATAAAAAAAATAAAAATAAAAATCCCACTTTTTTTTTTTATTGTGAAAATATATTTGGTTCTCTAATTAATATATATCGGAAACCATGGAGTTCATCCACTACTAGCTGATGTTATTCACTTTCTTCGGGGCTCAGCTGATAAGGCAACCCTAATCTTCGGGCCAACGATTCAAGCTTTTGTTGAAGCAATAATCCTTGAATCAAAGTAATTAACACTCGTTATCAAACAAGAGATAAGGGTAGAATTAGATTACCTGAAGATCTAGAACCAAGATTTGGAAACCTGGTTCTAAATTGAGTCACTTCACAATCGAACTGATCAAGGCTTGATTGAATGGCTCGGGTGCAATTCTACACAAAATTGCTGACAAATATGATGCTCGAATTTTAAGGGAAACATCTCAATTTGAGATCTGAATTACATTCATCCACCAATCTAATTTTACATAACATATTGTGGGTATTTATAGTCTCCCGACAAAGGAAATTTGAAATCCTGATCTCCTCTAATCTCTACAAAAATTGATAATTTGACCTTTACATCATTTATGAAATTAAAAAGAATTCTCTCTAACAAATGCTGATGTAACTAATGCGACAGGTTTAAAATCAATTGATCTCGGATTTCACTATCCACTCGTTTGAAACTTAGTATCTTAATCGACACGGGTGTTGGTTGGTGGGGTGGATTAAGTAATTTAGAAATAGTTGTAACATGTTTTTGGAAGTGAATGATATGAAAGAAAGGGGAGTACATTATTGGAGGTTGAAATAGTGGAAGAAAAAAGAGAGCAATAATAATAATATAGAGGAAGAAGGGGGAGGGAGGGGGAGGGAGGGAGCATAAGAGTATGAGAAAGCTGCGGCTGCCGCTGCAAATGGCAGAGAGTAGAGAGAGATTAAAAGAAGAATAGGGTTAGGCCTACGTAGCCGACCCGCAACGACCCGACCACACCTCTGAATATTGTCCTCCTCCACAGTCCACACACACCACAACACTCCTCCTCTTAAAGCTGTTCTTGTTTTTGTCTCTCTCTTTTATCTCTTCCCCTTATAATCCCCAATTCCCCCCCTTCCCCCTCTCTGCATTTTCAAATTACCCTCTTCCTTCTTCCAATTTCTCTTCAATTTCTCTCGATTCGATGCCTTCAGACGCCGGCGACCACCTCAAGACCGCCACCAAGCCCCTTGCCTCTGGCGGCCTTTGCCCTCCTCCGGAACAAGAGCACCTCCCTTGCCCACGCTGTGATTCCACTAACACCAAGTTCTGTTACTATAATAACTATAATTTCTCTCAGCCAAGGCATTTCTGTAAGTCCTGTCGTCGTTATTGGACCCATGGTGGGACCCTTCGCGACATTCCCGTTGGCGGTGGCAGCCGGAAGAATGCCAAGCGTTCTCGTACCTGCATTCCCGCGGCGGCGGCGGCGGCGACGTCGGTTGTTTCTTCTTCATCTGGGTCTTTGACTAATTCTGTTTCTCAGCTCGATCATCACTCGTTGCCGGCGACTCCGTTTCTGGTGCCGCTCGTCGGTGGCCACAGTGGAGGACTGCAGTTCGGCGGCGGCGGAGGAGGGGAGTTGAAGGCTGGTGGGAATATGTGTGGGAGCTTTACGTCGTTGTTGAACAATCACGCGCCTGGGTTTTGGAGTTTGGGCGGGTTCGGGCTTGGACTCGGGTCTGGGTTCGAAGATGTGGGCTATGGAGCGGCTAGTTCTAGGGTGGCTTGGCCATTTCTCGGTCTGGGAGACGGCAGTACTGGAGTCGGCGGCCACGGCGGAGCGGCGAACACGTGGCAGTTTGAGAATGGAGACGCCGCCGGTTTTGTGGGGGCTGCGGATTGTTTGTCTTGGCCGGAATTGGCAATTTCCACTCCAGGAAATGGGCTCAAATGATAAATATTTTTAAAAAGATTTTTCGTTTTTTCTTTTTGGGTTGGTGAAAAAATGTGGGTTAAAAGGTTAAATTTCTGTGTTATGGAGGGGTAAAATTAGAAACTTTTTTTTCCTTTTCTTTTTTTGATGTCTCCGAACTTCGTGGTGCGTTAAATTTTCTTCCTTTATTTTTCTTTTGTTATTATAAATATGTACTGTAATTTTATTAACTGCGAACAGTTCCTCCGTTGAATTACAAAATTTACCGTTTCCGGCTCAAATATGAACCGTTCTAGAGCTAAAAAATATACAATATCTCTCTCATAATTAATCATATAGTTTTAATTTGGAACATTGGGATGCGTCAGATATTCACAATTATTTGGGAATTTTTACATTAATTATGGACTAAGTTGTTGGTTGAGATGCAGTAAAGGAATTGCAAAACTTAGGCCTCCAATAAATGTAATTCATATATCGATCAAAATGTGGATTCAATTTTTACGTTAAAAATGTCGATAAAATATTCATATATTGATAAAAATTAACGTATATTAATCATTGTATATAGAAAAGGTAATTTTTTTTTATGATGAGTAGTGTTGATGATCCAAGGCAAATTTTAAATTTGATTCATAATTTATTTATTAGGACAAATAAATGAATTTACTTAGTGAATTAATTTGTAATTATTAAAAAAATAAATGATTTTATGCATTGAATAAGAAATATGATAGCATGTTAAAAAATAAATAATTATGACTCAAATCTACAACAGATTTTTGTAAAGAAATAATAAGAAACAATATACAATTTAATAAGTAAAATTTAAAATTAAAAAAATATTAAATGAGATCTATAATTTATATATTTTTGAAATTATATCTATTTTGCCACTATAAAAGGCAAAAGTCTCAAATTCTTTTCTTATTTTCATGTATTTGAACTACGACGAGAAAAAAAACAAAGAAATAATAATAATAATAATAATGAAGTGATTATTAGTGAATAATAATACACTCTATAGTTAACGTACAATGAGCTAAGAAATAAATGAAGCCAAGGTTGAGATATTTAATGTCGGTATTTAATGGACATGAATTATTAGAATTAGGCAGGAAAAAGTAAAAAAAATAAAAATAAATAATTACACAATTACCTAATTAATTTGTTTGGAAAAATTTATTCATGACATGCAACTCAATGATATTGTAATGAATTTTATAGATTACATAAATTTATACTTTCTTTTAATTTCATAAGGTTTATTATTTGTCATTATTACTTCGAAAATAATTTTAATTTATTCCATTTAATTTTTTTTTTTTGATAAATTTGCAACCGGTAAAATATTTATAGCTCATTAATTTATTTGATATTTTATAATACTTTTATTCGGCATTTTTAGAAATATAGTTTGTTTTATTTTAAGCCCATCTCATTCTTTCAGCTATTATATGATTTTATTTATTTATTTATTTTATTTTGCCAAAAAAAAAGAAAAAGGAAGTGGGCCAAATCAGAAAATACTCGCATATGGGCTGGGCCCGTTGAAGGTTCGATCCAGATCCAATTACAGGACGAAAAGCATGGTGGAAATTTTGAAAGAAGTTGTGCTCTCACTTTTCCCTCTCTAGGGTTTTGGAAGAGGTTTCGCCATTTACCACTCCTAAATCCAAGTGTCTGAACTGAACCAGTTTCAGGTAGACGAAGCAATTTCAGAATTAAAATGGCGTTTTCTCTGTTCTCAACTCCGCAACCACAGCAGCCGCAGCAGTTATTTCAATCGCAGCCTCAATCACAACCGCAACTTTTTCAGCAGAGCAGCTCATTGTTCTCCCAGCAGCCGCAACAATTTCAACTGCAGCAGCAGCAACAACAACAACTGCAGCAGCAGCAACAACAACAACAACAGCAGCAACAGCAGTTAATGCAGCAGCAACAGCAACAGCAGCAGTTGTTCATTTTTACAAACGATAAGGCTCCTGCAAGTTATGGTACTAAGTGGGCTGATCTCCATCCTGACTCGCAGAAAATTCTCCTTCAGATCGAGTATGTTCTTGTCGACTCTCTTTGAAACTTGTTACATAATCTTGGTTTTTGCTTAATTGTACGAGTAGAAGTTTAAAGATCTTGTGCAAGAAAAGTATTTTCTGTCTTTCATGGTTTTCTGCCAAAAATGCTTCTTCGTGCTCAAGCAGAATTCTTGGACATTTTATTTAGTGTTAGCTTTCCCTTTTATCAGGTCTCATCTTCTTGTTTACATTTAGGCTTCCAACGCTCTACAATTTTCCATACTATGTGGCTATTTATATACTCTATCCCTTCAGGGAACGAATTTTGGAGTATCGGGATGAGAGCCAGAGACTGGATCAGTGTAGTCGCCTCTACGATTCTTCAGTTTCTAACGATGGGTTTGAGCTCGATGCTAGTCGAATTGTTCAGGTTACTGTTGACATTAATCAGATTGTTTTTTTATTTCCTTTCGACTTTACGTCGAATAATTATTGGAAAGTTGAGCTTACTGATAATATATTTATGGGTACTGAGATATACATGGGAAAATGCAGCAGCTCGGTCAATTTTGCACATTAATGTCACTACAATGCCGTATGAGTAATTGATAGTTGGTATATTGTTTGGCGTATTAGGTTCATAATCACATTCAACAGTATTCCTAAAGCTTGCTTCTTATCTTTTCTGTAACATTTGGGATAATTTAATACATGCTTTATGGGCAATGAAAAGTTACGGAGGAGAAAACAAATTGGTAGTTGGATTTCTCAAGAACTTGTTTAAATTGATTCAGAGGTTCTCAACACGTTCCTCTTTGGCTCTTCCCTTACTCTAATGAATTAATAAGTGATACGTTACTTGGAATAAAGATATATTTTCGATGGATTTGGAAGGAGGCATCTTATTCCAAAAACAAACATTGAGGGCGGACCCTTCTATCCCTTCATTTTCTGTTGGAAAAGGTGGTTTTGTTCCTGTTGTAGCCGAAGGGAGAAAGGTTCAGATGAAACCTGCTACATGTATCTTAATGTTCAACCTTAAAGCATCTTAGATAAATTATTTGTTTTGATTACCGTAATATTTAATTGCACATCCATCAACCACAAGAATGCTATTTGAACTGTCCCAAGTCTAACACACAATTATTGATTTTTATATTGTAAAATTATGGGGTTATTGAAATTATTGCATATTCCATATCAGGAACTTGGGGGAATTAGTACGTCTACAGAACATCAAAAAGTGCTGCTTCAAGAGCTGATGACTTCTGTGAAAGGGATGCTTTGGAATACAGAAGTTGCCATTCGTTCTTTCATGATGATATGCCCAAGGTTCCTTCATCAGAGTACTGGAGGTGCTACAAATCCTGCTGTGCCAACACAGGTTCCCGGAGTAACATCGCCACTAGGTTCCAGCGTTCAACCAACATCCACCTCAATCGTGCCAGTTTTTGATTTCTACAGTGGTCTCCCAAAAAAACCTTCTCCATTTTTGCAGCAAACTGTTTCAAGATTTGAGAAGTATCTCGGTGAGTGCCGCCAGTGGATTGAAGAGTTAGAGCAACTCCTTGTCCAAGAGTCTAATCGGAGTGCTTCCAATTCTGGCTCCTCATTGTTTCATTCGCTTCCTAAAATCATGTCAAATGTGCATGAATTCTTCATTCACGTAGCTGCTAAGGTAGGAGAAATCTTGTCCTTTAATGGTCACTAATTTTAAATAATGTAGTGGGCCACTTTTGAAATGTTTGTCCTATAGATTCAGATATTCTTCAATTAGGTTGTCGATGTATGTCACTGATGTGAAAATACCTGGTGGTTTATTTAAGGGATCTTGATTACTGATAGGGATTGTAATAAGTTGTCTTTAAGTTGGTTAGGGGACAGTGATGGTAAGTATGTAATGTAAATTTGAGGTTGCTTTTTGGTATTGAGTTTGACTTGGACTAGTATAGCTTGCTTGGAAACAAAGTCTAAAATTGTTTTAAGTGCTGGTTTTTAAGTTCGGAAGATTTCAGAGTGTGAAAATCCTTCAACTTATCCACATGCACCTGATCTCACAGTAGAACGTAGGATGCTAGATATGCACATTCTTATAACTAACGGCATGTTAAAAATTATTCCTCAGGTTGAGAGTATTCATCAGTACATTGACTCAATGAAGGCAGCTTATCTTGCTGATCAGCGTCGCAGAGGGGATGTAAATAATCCATTTCTTGAGGCTGATCGAAGGGAAACTGCACGCCAAGAAGCAGTAGCTAAGAGGGCACATCCGACTTTACATTTGCCTGCAAATTCACAACCATCAACTCAAGCTACTGGAGTACTTGCCAGCTCAGGTAATCATGGTGCATCAACAGCCCCACAATCGTCTACACTAGCCACACCAGCTTCTTCCGCAGGTGGATTGTCCCTTTTCAGTACACCCTCTGCTCCAGCTACTGCATCATCTTCTCTGTTCATGACACCAACAGCGTCTGTTCAAACATCCTCTCTGTTTAGTTCATCTGGTGCAGCAGCTCCCACATCACTTTTTGGCTCGTCCTCTGCACCATTGTTTAGTTCTGCCAATACTCCCTTTGGCAGCACCGCTCCATCTTTTGGGCAATCTGCTTCTGCAGGAGGTTCATTATTTTCGACACCCTTTGCTTCTGGTAATTTCTTGACATTTTTTGTTTGCAATATATTTCTTCGTCGTATTGAACTAATTGTTTATTTCTAGTAGTTAATCACTGGTTATCTATTTTTATCCCATTATGTTATAAAAAATGTGTTTGGGATGTTTTGGGAAACTTACAAAAAAAAAAAAAAAAAAAAAAAAAAAAAAT